TGCAAGATTTATAGGCAAACTATTTCAATTCCAGCTTTGTGACAGTCCTTCCTCACTGCCGCACACCTCTTTATACCTATTTCCTTATATGTAAAATGGGAATAATTATATTTAATAACCACAAGATTGTATGTCAAATTACATAATGTGAAAACATCTTGTAAACTCCAAATCACTGGTCATTATTATTGTTCTTACTGACTTAATTGTTTTAAATATGCAAATAGCAAATTCATCTAGATAGAAGTAGTTCTAGCACTGGATTCACATTCAAGAATGTTTGCTAGAAAACTGAAAAACAAACTAGACATGTCTTTAAACAGGGTTTTGACAGAAATCCTATTCACATAGATATTTTTATTATAAATCTTTGATAAAAGCTGAGGGAATTACATTGAATCATAATTTAGTGAGGGTATTTCTGCAGAAAGGTGAAATGACATGTTCTAAGTACTACATTCCTTTCTGATGGTTTACTTAACACAGAGGAAGTTGGAAAGTTAGTTAGCTAATCTATCAGCCTATCTTATAAGTACCAGAAGCCTCAAGCTGACCTTTTGCAGGTGCTAGATTGTAGTCAATTTGACATTTCATTTTCAAGAGAGAACACTAAGCACCTAAACTCTGGAATATTGATTAAAAAGAAATCCCTATATGATATCAAACATGCAAGAGTCAGGGTTAATATTTCAATGGTGAAATTTAAATAACTAGACAACTTGCTCAAGAAAGCATTTCTTATCATGGGGGTGGGGTACTGGCATGCTTAGAAACAAAAGCCCTTAAATGACAGGAACAGGCAATCATAGGAGTTAATCAAAAAGCAGCCTGTGGAACACATGCTACCTGTTAGTACATTAAAAAGGCTGTATTGGAAAAAGCACTTCAGAGAGAAATAAAAATTAAATTCTAAACCCAGCTCTGTCATTAAATGAATGACTGGACAAAACACTTAACCCATATGCACCTCAGTTTCCTCATCTGTAGAATGAAAGGATTTCAGATTAGGAAACTTTAAGGTTTCTACTATCTATAAAATAGTATACTTCTGGGATTTAATTATTGTTGAACCAAATCAGAAACTTTATGAGAGACCATTAGTAATACAGGGGAAACCTAACATAATGACATGATTATATTTTTTTTTATAATTTGTATCACATAGGTAACAGATCAAAATCCAATTTGTAGCAAAGTAAACCTTAACTTGTCTGCAGAATTTGCTAAAAAACGTCTGTACATTTTTTCAAAAGGTGAACTGGTATCACCCAACATTAGGTAAAAACAATAGAGTGTGGCTTAGAAAATACACTTAACTATATGTAGAACTCAAATGAGGGACTGGGGAAAAAACTTTTGTTGCAGTAAATTATTACATTAATTAACATGTAGCCATTCAGTCAAGAATAAGCACAAATTTAGCACTTAATGAGTATCAGCCTCAGTTGAAACCATAGCTTTCTATTCCCAAACAAAATCACCTCCTCCCAAACTAGGGAAGAAACAAAGCAAAACTACCAATTCCATACTATTTATCCAGAAGCCTAATATTTCATAAACGTTGGTCAAATAATTCTATTTTTACAGCTCTGTACCAACAAAATAATCCTAAATACAGAAAAACTTCATGCCTAAGAATGTCTATTATAGGGTTATTTATTTAAAAGAAAAGAAATCGGAACAATGTAAATTTAACCAAAAAAAAATGGAATGGTCAAGGAGCACCATAGTATTTAATGGAATAAAATTTAGCCATTAAAAACAAAGACTATGTTCGAGCATTGAAAAGTATTTAAAGTGAAGCCAAAAAACCCCAAAACCAAAATACAGAGAATTGTACATACAATATGATTTCAGATAAGTAAAAACATATATGTGGGAGAAAAAAAAAGACGGAAAGCAAATACGTACATGTTAGACCATAGTTTCTATATGACTGATGGGACTATAGGTAAACTTTTGTACTTTTCTGTTTTCCAAATTTTATTTAATAAATATACATTATTTTTAATAATGATTAAATAACTGAGTATACAAAATACACTATTTCATTAATCATCAAAATTTCCTCTATGGTAGAGTACAAGTCAAGGTTATTTAGCATGAAACAGACTATCATGGAAACACTGGAAATGCCCTGAAGTCAGACAGAAAAAGTCAAGAACCATAGGATTTCACTTATATGTGGGATATAAAACTGAAAGCAACAAACAAGACAAACAAAAACTCATGGACATAGACAACAGTTTAGTGGCTAACAGAGAGTAAAGGGGAAGGGAGGGGTGGTTGAAGAGGGAAAAGGAGTCAAGTATATAGTTATAGAAAGACAACTGACTCTGGGTGGTGAACACACAAAGCAACATATAGATGATGTATTACAGAATTGTACACTTGAAACCTATATAATTTTACTAACCAATGTCACCCAAAAAAATTTACACATATATACATATATACATACATAAAAATAAATAGGATGGGGCCGGCCAAGTGGCTCAGTTGGTTAAGAGTTAGCTTAAGAGCGTGAGCTCTGAGCAACAGGATCACTGGTTCGATTCCCACATGGGCCAGTGATGCTGCACCCGAGCTGAGCTGCCACTGAGCTGCCAACAGGTGGCAGGATGGCTCAGCTGGTGAGAGCGCATGCTCCTAACAACAAGACTGCCTGTTTGATGGTGGGCTACACCCACCCGCAACTAAGACTGAGCTCAGCACCTTGAGCTGCGCTGCCACCCGGATGGCTCAGTGGATAGAGCATGCACTCTTAACAATAAGGCTGCCGGTTCAACTCCCACGTGGGATGGTGCGCGTGGGATGGTGGCTTCACCCACCCGCAACTAAGATTGTAACACACCACCTTGAGCTTAGAGACCACAAGCTGCCGACGGGCAGCCAGATGGCAACTGGTGCCCTCTACAACTAAGATTGAAGAAGAACAACTTGACTGGTCCCCCTCCCCAATTTCCCAACACTGCTCGAACCCCTCCCCCAATTCCCCAATTAAAAATAAATAAATAAATAGGATGGATTTTTAAAGAAACTCCTTCAAAGGAAAAGACTTTTTTTTAAATCCTGGTATCCTTGAGAGGTTAATTCTATGACACCTACTTTTTGAAATATAATTCCTAACGTCAGAGAGGTACTAAGTCCTGGATATATAACACCACAGAACATCAAGAATATGGCTGAAACATGATACTTCCTGGGTATGCGCAGTCTGGCATTCAAGCAACAATTATATCCAGATATTAGGAAAATAAAATAATTTACCTAGGAGGCCGGCTGAGTGGCACGCTGATTAAGAGCTGGCTTGGGACGCCAGAGGGCCCTGGTTCGGATCCCACATATGAGAGCCAGTGACACTGCCCTCCACAGCTAAGATGCTGAACAACAGCTCAACCTGGAGCTGTGTTGCTGTGAGTTGCCGGCGATGGCGTAGGCTGCAGCCCCTGCTGCAGTGGGTTGCCGTGGGCTACAGTGTGTAGCCAGCAGCCAGCATGAGCAGCCCGCAGCTGCCATGAGCAGCCATGCAGAAGCCGGCGACTGATCTGCCTCACCGGGGAAGAGCACAATGATGGTGCCAACTTGGGCCAGTGAAGAAACATCCTCCACAACTAGACTGAAGAACAAAAGGACAGCAACTTGTCTGTTCCCCTTCCCTCAATTCCCCAGTGCTGTTCCCCTCCCCCAATTCCCCAATAAAAAAATAAAGTTTTTTTTTAAATAAATAAATAAAATAATTTACCTAGGATCCCTGCCAGTTAGTGAACAAGCCCAAAAACTAAATCCAGGTTTCTTGATGACCATTCTAGTGGTGTGAAAAATAGATTTTGGTATAGTCGCTTATAAGCCAAGAGTTGGAGCTTATGTTTTTTCTTTTATAAATACTGGTGTTTATCTAAATGATTTTTTTATTTTTAAATTGAAAGCTAGAACCCCTGAACTTGCCAGCACACACACAAGACCCAGGCAATATTAAATTATTCATTCTTCTTGCTACCTGTTTTTCCAGGTTGTGTTTTTGTTTTTTATTTTGTATACATCAAGGTCCACAAGCATATGCAGACAGACATGTTTCCCTTATTTGTCAACCCCACACCTGTTTTCTTTAAAATGTGACTACTTAAAATGTTATAATTCAATGTCTTTCTGAATGGCTTCTCTTAGTTAAAAGAACTTTCAAGATATAACTTAAGGAATAACTGTAAAACAAATTTTTAAGTAAGAGAAATGTCTCCAAATGATGTTTAAGTACTAACCCATGTCATCCCTAGTCTCTTTACCTTTTCCCTTTACCATCTCAACTCTAACTAGTTTATTTCCAAACTTGCAAAAATGTCCCCACTGTATATCACTTACTTTTAGTCTACATTTAAACATCTTCCAATTTCAGAATTCTATCATAAATCCTTGTTGGGAGGTGGGGGAGGTGTGAAAGAAAGAAGAAAAAATAGGAAATGGATGAGGTTCTTCTTAGTATCTCTTTGCAGCTTCATAAAATTTTATACAGGGCTTATAAAACCATGAACTTTTCTATGAACCATTACCTCAAGAGCCACTATCAAATACTCAGAACACCAAAATTAAGAAATATATGCTATGTAGGATCTTTTAGAACAGATAGTACTGTAAAATCAAATAGATGGAATCCCATATTACGACCCACAGTTTGCAACTTTTCGTTGTAGGAGCCTTCAGATGCTTCCAAATTTCAACTAACATCCTGTCCTTCCTTCTTTGCCTTTTTATGCTCAGATATTATTTATCTTCACTGATTTGTAGGAACACCAAAGTTTTAAGAGTAAAATAAATACACAGTTCCTTTGTTTATATATATACATATATATATATATATATATACAATGCATTTTAAACTATTTTATTTTGTTTCACTGTTTTAAATATTTAAATTAAAAATATTAAAGATATAAATATTAAGTCAATGATTTTTACTCTCTGCTTAAACATAATTTTAATTATTTTTATTTGTTTACTTTCAGGAAATTGGAGATGGTGGTTCTCTGAGAATGGTTCACTTTGGTTTGGTGTAAAGAGAAATTTGTGCTTTACTTAAAAGAGAAACCTGCATTTTTCACATCTAAACTTGTTCATGGCCTGATACTGATTAAAATCTCCCTACATGGCTTAAAAAGAGGAAAGACAGTATGAATTAGTTAAGAGTTTTAAATTCAGAGTGTTTTGAAAGCAAAGTTTTATTAGTTTCAAAAACATGCAGCATTTATGGCAGTTATCCTAAATAAAAGTCCTTAACTTATTTTCAATAATGTAAAATTTTGCAAGGTTCGTAATTGTTAGGTTCTTCAAAACTAGAACACGTAAACTTGGTTCTTACAAGTATTTTAAACATTTCCTCTTGTGCTCATTTACATTATTAATTTGCATTATGAATCAAGTATTAAGCAAAAATTTCAGACCAGACCCATTGTTGGGAGACAATTTTCCAAGGATCTCTTGAATTACTCCTATGAGGTACTGACTCCCCCTTGGAGCAAGACACTATTTCCCTATGGAGCAAAGGGCAGGCATGCTTACTGACTATTATAAAAGATCTGAAGTTCCCTAAGCTCAGAGTTCCTACCCTTTACACAGCCCACTGAGTGTGAAGATGTCATCTAGCCTTCTTTACATCACCCTATGGGAATGGGGCTCAGACAATCAATGCCCCTCCCCCCTAAAAAAGTTGATACTCTATTTACTATTACTGTGAGAAATAAACCCCTTTATCTCTGACCCAGGAGTTTCATGTCTTATACCAGCACAAAACTGTAGTTTGATAACTTGGTAGCTTGCAAGTAGCGTTAAAATCTCAGACCCTTCAAAATAACTTGGTAGCTTGCAAGTAGGGTTAAAATCTCAGACCATTCATTAGTAGATAGCATATATTTTACAATTGTAAATGTCTATAACAATGAACATCTTTTTCAAACACTGTACATGAGGTAAATTATATATTTAAATATTATGGCTAAAATTTAATTAGATTGAAGGTTTTTATACTTCAGGGTTTTCTCCCTATTTCCTATTCATCTGTACCTCAACCAGGGGGTATGACAAAGAAAGATGAAACTAAAATTACACTTTTCAGTTTGCTACTGCTCTGGAAAAGTTTTAGTAATGTATTGTATGTAAGCCATACTAAAAAGAGATGTAGAGTTACCAGCAACTTTTCATTTTACTATTCCCATCATTCTTTTTCACATTAATCAAAAGAACTAATTTAATTTATAAGGCAAAATTGTGATTACATCACAGAAATGGCAGCATGAGGAGTGCTTCTTGAAATCTCCCCTGGAATTTACAACAAACTGAACAGCCATCATTCAACAAAGGATTCCCTGCTCAACATACAGGAACACTTGAGAGACCCGCAAATTGAAGGAAAAAATTGTATTGAGAAAGATATAGTTTTTGTCAAGATGGCAACATTTTCTCCAGATTTTCTAGTAAATAATAGTCATTAACCAAAAATACAAACCGCATTTCCTGATCTACAATACCCTTTTGTTTACTTGGCCACTGTCTTCTACAACTAAGTGAGACACTAGTAGAAAAGTTCAGTACTATTTCTAGGTCCTATGTGAGAAGACCACAGTCTATGCTAAAAAGTAAAAACTTAAATGAGATATTAAAATATGAATATAAATAAAACTATTTTGTTCTATATGATGATGAGAAGAAGTTTGCGAGTAATCTAGGTGAAAACCAAATAAAACTTAGTTCTTTAAATTGCCCATTTTTCCCACCTCACTTGCCTCTGGAAAAACTAACTCAAATATACAGAAAACCAAGTTTAAATAGTAGTAAAAATATATTATGCATGAGACCTTTGAAAATGTCTATGATTTATGAATGTGTTTTCCAAATGTTGTGAACCTGGGGGTGTTTATTAATTAAATATTCCAATATATTGCTATTCCTGCTCTACTACAGATTGGAAGGATTATGAATGAGTTACCACAGCTCAAAAGTGAGAACAGTGGCATAGACAAGAACAGCTAGGTAGCATCTATGCTAGCACTGATAGGTTTACAGTTTCTCCTTCAGGAATAGGTCCATAAGCTTTTTCAACTATTGTCCAAAATTTCCAGATCTCAAATAATTTCACAGTAACTCATATAAGCTGTGACATTGTACCTTACTACTAGAATAAACTGTGTTTAGAATACCTGTATCTAAATGGTTTGCGTTCATTAAAAAGTCAAATAACCAAAACTGATATTACACTCAAGCTGTCCTGCTCTGTCTCGGCTGGAATTATCCCTTTTTCCAGTGTATCCACGCTGTATAGTAAGTCCTCACTTAATGTCAATAGGTTCTACAACTTTAAGTGAAATGATGTATATCAAAACCAGTTTTACCATAGGCTTACTGCTATAAACAAGAGTTATATTCCTATGACATCTTATCTATATTATAACAAAACAACACTCAATGACATTATTTGAAGACCTGCTATAAATACTTCCTGCCCTTTAGTCAGTCACTCAGTAGCCATCTCAGTTACCAGACTGACTGTCGCAGCATCAGAGTGCTTGTGTTCAAGTAACCCTTATTTTAATTAATAATGGTTCCAAAGCCCAAGAGTAGTGATGCTGGCAACTCATATATGTCTAAGAGAAGCTGTAAAGTGCTTTCTCTAAGTGAAAAGGTGAAAATACTGGACTTAATAAGGAAAGAAAAAAAGAAAAATCAGAGACCTGGTCAAGATGGCAGAGTAAATAAGTGCTGTGCTTACCTCCTCTCACAACCACATCAAAATTACAACTAAACTACAGAACAACCTCATTGAGAATCACCTAAAGTCTAGCTGAACTGAACCCCTACAACTTAGGACATACAGAAGTCACCTTGAGACTGGTAGGAGGGGCAGCAGAACAAGCTGGTCGCAACCCATATGTGACCATTAAAAATTGGAAGGGATAGGGCAGGCCGAATGGCTCAGTTGGTTAAGAGCTCACACTCTTGAGCAACAGCGGTTCGATTCCCGGCCCGAGATGAGCTGCTGCTGAGTTGCCGCTGATGGCTCAGCTAAAAAAAAAAAATTGAAAGGGATAACTCAGCTGTGGAAGTCCCCCCACAAAGAAGCAAGGGGTCCCAGCCCCACACCAGGCTCCCCAGCCCAGGGTCTCAGTGCCAGGGAGAGAAGTCCCCATAACTTCTGGCTGTGAAAACCAGTGTAGATAGTGGCTGAGTGAGACACAGGGCAGCTATAGTCCCAGGCGCTCCTCTTAAAGGACCTATGCGCGAACTTACTTGCTGACGGGACACACTTGCTCTGAGCTCCTGCACTGGGGCAGCAGCTCAAAAGGTGCCAGGGACTACAGGGAGGAACTGAATTATCTAACTTCAGGGCGAGGGCTGGAAGGGCAGCTTTCTCCTGGATGAAGGAGCTGGCCAAAACCATTGTTTCTTTGTTGAGCCCTCCACCTTCTTGGCATGCAGACACAGGCGGCCACCATATCTGAGTCTCCATCAACGTGGCTAACACTGTTCATCTGCCCTGATTCCCTGAAACTCCACCCCATACAATTTTTGGACCCACCCAACTTTCTGGCCCACATAACCACTTCCAGTGGCTTTTCTATGTAAAACGGCTTGTCTTGGCTCATCCTGAGGACTTTCCTAAAATTTCTAAAAGGTTCAAAAAACCCAAACAAGCAGCATCTGGTTTTGGCATGTCCCCTACCTCTGGCTGAGCAGTCCTAAGCTCGGCACTAGTGACAGCTAGTCTTGGTTAACAGCTTGGCCTCTTAGGCACTTCCCAGCCCAGCACAGGCAGCAGCCATCTGCAGATTGCTTTGTGGCTCATGCCAGGTGGTGCCAGACAGGGTATAGGCTGCGGCTGAACTTGACCTGTGATGGGGCCCCTCCCAGGAGGCTCCAAACCAGCATGCCCAGTGGCTAGCTTCAGAACCAGCCAGATCATCACCCGGCCACGTCTGGGGACAACACACCCCAAAGGGCACACTTTAGCCCTGCTAAAGCAAATCCTGCTCCATAGACGTAGCTCCTGCACAACAGCTCCTCCATTATAGTCACAGTCAGTTCCCACAACCAAGCAGCCTGAGGGTAAATCCCTCCCATTGATGTGCCAACAGCAACAAAGGCTCAACTACAACAGAAGGGCACACACAACCCACACAAGGGACACAGCTGGAGTACCCAGCTCAAATGACGAGGAAGACTGCACCACTGAGCCCCAAAGCACAGCTACTACATAAAGCCACTCTACTAAGACCAGGAGACATAGTAGCCCTACCTAGTACATAGAAACAAACACAAGGAGGCAGCCAAAATTGGGAGACAAGAAACATGTCCCAAATGAAAGAACAAAATTCCAGAAGAGAACAAAACAAAATGAAGACAAGCAATTTACTAGATGCAGAGTTCAAAACATTGGTTGTAAGAATGTTCAATGACTGGGCCGGCTGAGTTGCTCAGTTGGTTAAGATCATGAGCTCTGAGCAACAGGTTGCTGGTTCAATTCCCACATGAGCCAGTGAGCTGTGCCCGAGCTGAGCTGCCGCTGAGCTGGTGAAAGCACGTGCCCCACACCTCCACCCCCGCAACTAAGATTGAACATGGCACCTTGAGCTGAGCAGCCGCGAGCTGCTGATGAGCGACTGGATGGCTCAGTGTTCAACTAAGTTGCCGGTTTGAATCCCGCATGGGATGGTGGACTACGCCCACCCCCCCAACCCACCCCCGCAACTAGATCGAAAGCAGTGACTGTACTTAGAGCTGAGCTTGCACCCTCCACAACTAACACTGAAGGACAACAACTTGACTTGGGTTGATGTGTCCTGGAAAAACACAATGTTCCCCTTCCCCAATTCCCCAACACTGTTCCCCTCCCCAATTCCCCGATAAAAATCTTAAAAAAAAAAAAAAGAATGCTCTATGAGCTCAAGGAGAACTTCAACAAGGAAATAAGAAACATGAAAATGGAGACAGAAAATGTAAAAAAGAACCAGTCAGAAATGAAGAATACAATAACTGAAATAAAGAATACATTAGAGGGAATCTACAGATTACTAGAGAGAATCTACAAACGATTGAATCAGCTATTTGGAAGATAAAGAAGCAGAAAATACTCAATCGGAACAGAAAAAAATATCCAAAAAGATGAGGATAGTTTAAGGGTCCTCTGGTATAACATCAAGCATACCGACATTTGCATCATAGGGGTACCAGAAGGAGAAGAGGGAGAACAAGAATTGAAAACCTGTTTGAATAAATAATGACAGAAAATGTCCCTAACCTAGTGAAGGAAATTAATATACAAGCCTAAGAAGCACACAGAGTCCCAAACAAGATGAACCCAAAGACGCCCACACCACGACACATTATAATTAAAATACCAAGGTTTAAATATAAAGAGGGAATCTTAAAAGCAGCAAGAGAAAAGCAGTTAGTGACCTAGAAAGGAGCCCCCATAAGACTGTCAGTTGATTTCTCAAAAGAAACTTTGTAGGCAAAAGGGATTGGCACAAAATATTCAAAGTGATGAAAAACAAGGACCTACAACCAAAAGCTATCAATTAGAATCAAATGATGGATAAAGAACTTCCCAGACAAGAAAAAGCTAAAGGAGTTCATCAACACTAAACCAGAATTACAAAAAAATCTTAGAGGGACCTAAAAAAATAAAATAAAATAAAATAAAATCAGGGCCAGCTGAGTGGCTCAGTTGGTTAAGAGTTGGCTTGGGACGCAAGCTCTGAGCAGCAGGGCCATGGTTCAGATCCCACATATGAGGGCCAGTGACATTGTACCCTCTACAGCTAAGATGGTGAACAACAGATCGACCTGGAGCTGGGCTGCCGTGAGTGGCTGGCGATGGCGTAGGCTGCAGCCCCTGCTGCAGTGGGCTTCCATGAGCTACCATGAGTGGCCGGCAGCCAGCATGAGTGGCCGGTAGCTGGCATGAGCTGCCAAGAGCCACAGTGAGCGGCCATCCAATGACCGGCGACCAACTGCCTCAGCCAGGAAGAGCACAATTATCATAATACCAACATAGGCCTGTGAAGTGGTGTCTTCCACAACTAGACTGAAGAACAAATAGACAGCAGCTTGTCTGTTTCCCTTCCCTGATTCCCCAATGCTGTTCCCCTCCCCCAATTCCCCAATAAAATATTTTTAAAAATAAAAAATATGAATAAAATGGCAATGAGTATATATCAATAATTACTTTCAATGTAAATGGATTAAATGCTCCAATCAAAAGATAGGGTGGCTGAATGGATAAGAAAACAAGACCCTTACATATGCTGCCTACAAGAAACTCACTTCAGATCAAAAGACACACACATACTGAAAGGAAAGGGATGGAAAAAGATATTTCATTAAAATGGAAACAAAAAAATAGCTGGGTTGGAATACCTATACCAAACCAATATAGACTTTAAAACAAATGCTATAACAAGAGTCAAAAAAGGACTGAGTAATCCCACTTCTAGGTAATTATCTGAAGAAACTCAAACTCAACTTCGAGGTAACATGTGCATCCATATGTTCATTGCACTGTTTACAATGGCCAACTAATGGAGGCATCCTGGGTGTCTGCCAATGGATGAATGGATAAAAAGGAGGCGGTACATATATACAATGGAATATTGCTTGGCCAGAGAAGAGAATGGGTTCTTTACATCTGTGGTGGCATAATTAGACCTGGAGGGTATTGTGCTAAGTGGAGTATCATACAGAGAAAGACAGATGCAATGTGATCTCACTTATATGTGGAATCGAAATAACAAATGAAACAAATGAAACAGAAACAAACTCAAAATATACAGAGGGGCCGGCCGAGAGGCGCGATGGTTAAGAACTGGCTTGGGACGCCAGAGGGCCCCGGTTCGGATCCCATATATGAGGGCCAGTGACACTGCCCTCCACAGCTAAGATGCTGAACAATAGCTCAACCTGGAGCTGGGCAGCTGTGAG